TTCCCGGGGTATCCGAAGTTATACCTGCTGGGTACGGGTCGCGGATACTTTAACCGGAAGTACCTGGTACTATCTTAATTATGCGGGACCGAATTTATTCATTCATTTATAAATATTCATGTTTTGAAAACTTACAATGATTTGATTACTTAACTTCTGGACGGTGAGGAGGTACAGTTACAAGTCATGTTGACATATCCGTTACAATTTTCTTTAAATTAATAATGTAAAATTAATTATCTGTAAAAGTATTATATATATATTTCTAGTTACAACCTCGAGCTGTAAAAAGACAGAATTGGCTAAACAGAGCACCAATATGCGAGGAACTCTCGCTATTAAATTAAATAAATAATACAATAATGATCTGTGCAAATATTATAAATCAGTAGTACAATCGAGCTGGAAAGAGCAGAACTTGGTTAGAAAGCAGACACCAAATGTATGCGAAAAACGCTATTAAATAATAAATTAATAAATTAATAATATAATTTCTCCGTACTATGCTATCGACTGGAAGGACAGAATTGGGTAGAAGAGACAACTTATTAGTGCGGAAAATGCTATTATCGCCCGATCAATGATGAAAGAGGATTTGCGTAACACTGTGGCGATTTAGCAACTGTCTATTTGAATTACAGAAAGTCTAGGTTCACAGTCTTAAGGAGTTCGGAAACAAAGTACTGGTGTCAGATTGTCAATGAAGTCTGCCTTGTGATACAAGAAGATCTTTTCCTCTGACGTTTGTTTAGATTCCGCGCGCGCAAGCGGATGCCTGAGACTTTTTAAAAGGAAACATGCGACTGGTAGTGATTTTCGTGAGGACGAATTGGGGTTTCCGGCAATTATGAGTATCTCGTGTTCGGGGATGGGCGTAAATGTCTGTAGCAACCCTGACCTTGTTCAGCCTGAGCGAACTTTGTCAAGCAAAAGTCGGTGGCTCTACACTTATTTTTAGCTATTCCGGCCATACCTACTTACATTTGTATCGATAATGAACGTCACCGGGACTTGGACACTTGCGTTTTAAGGCCGTTGGATTGTTAGGGATTGGATATTAGATGGGGCGCGGTTTTCTTTAAACTCGGGTTCACAAAAAAGTATTCTTTAACCCACTCAATTATTAGGGACGCACAAATTAGATAGCTGGCAATTTTCTATTGACCAGATGTAGCGTCTTTATTGTGTCCTGAAGAAGTATGTGTTATGCATTTCGGTTTGACCATTATGGATATTCTCGTTATGGTCGACTGTTGACAATGGACGTCTGTGAATAGAGGAAGTTAGTCAACATTCAGTTAAAACAGTTTGTCTGATTAAACTGCATGCAATTGACATTTCAGGTAGCAAGGAAGGGGGGAGGAACCGTTAACTCACCTGAAATGTATCTTTAGTCATTCGGAAATTTTCTATCCACTGCTGATTTGACCAATTACAGACAATTGCATCCCAAAAGTCAACACTCTTCGGTAGTGTCCATCGAATTCTGGGTCTTTTCCCCCTCGCACGTAAATGTTGCGTCAACAAGGCCGAAATAATCCTACGTCTCCGCAGGTAATAACGTGTAACGCGATTCTGCTGCCTTGCTTGAATATCATCTTTCTCATTTTCTATTCCTTTTCTACGTGATAGGTAGAAACAGAGTAGTTTGACGAGTAGCTGTAAAGTTGGACGAAAATCCATTACATACAAGCAAGTGGTTATGTTTACATGCAACACGGAAGTAAACAGAATAGTTGGAAGCCAGTCAGAATAGTTTGATTGTTTAATTCGCATTGTTCGCTTGGACGCATTGTATTTTTTTTCTCAGCTCACAGCTCGCATAGCGTCGTGTGAACGCTCTCTTCAACGACGCTCCGTGTCGTTTTCGACACGGGTCGTTTTCGACCCGAGTTCCTTCGCTCCGTGTGACCGCGGCTAATGTGAACATTCTGTTTGAATGGAATTTAATTGGAGTCATTTACGCATTTCATAATCGCCCCAATACACAGATACTCTCGATCAGTTCAGAGACGTACATCCAGCTGCCAAAACACATTACGCATCACTGTGTCAAAACTGTCAAAGCTAAATAGAGCTGGAAATGAAGGCACGTTGATTAGGCAATTAAGGAACATCTGAGAATATATGAATTAACTTTAGCCCGACCAGGCTGTGCGACGAATTGTCACCCTAGCAATACCGTTTCTTGGAGCTAGAATTAACTTCAGCTTTGAAGGCATGTGCCGATGTGGGACCCAACATGAGTCTGGGGAGAACGCTGGTATGTGTGAACAAATTAATTTGTTAGTTTCAGCTAAAAACAGCTAGGAGGATGCATTATTCTAGCCTAGGCAAATTTGTTCAGTTGCAAAATGCCATTCACAAATTGAAAGAGCCTGTAGGCTGTAATATCTGAAACCGTGGTCCACATACAATACCAATACATATGGTTCGATACATTCATGGCCGTTTTGGATGCGGATGCCGGGTGATATAAGAGCTGTTCCCAATTCATTTTCGCAATGAGCGACATGTGCATATACCTATACTATAGTCTATAGTATAGTCACTGCTATACCTGCTATACCGTGTGCTGCATGCCTATACATTAATACCGGTACGGTACCTTTTTGTTATCTGTTTATCTTTCACGTTTGTTTTCGCCGTGCTTTTTTGTTGTGGCTTTCTAAGAAGTTTGCTTTCGAATTCATCTAGCAGATCATCAAGGTCGTCAGCCATTCCATTTAGAAACTAAAATGATATTATCCATCAACATAAGGACTATGTGAAAAAGGAATATACTCGAAATTACAACAAATCAACGCGAAAAATTCCAAGAGAGCGAATGTCATTTCTACTAGTAGTTCTAGATTTCCCCACTACGTGGCGCGCGTGCCAGCATTGCCATTTGTTTTTACAACATGGCTGCGCCCAGTTTTGGGTTGCATTGCATAGATTGCAAGATTGTCATACAGTTCGTTCTAATACTCGTGTTTACAGGGAATATAGCTATATCTCTGAAGCGCAGAAAGGTGTAAGTAGCTAGATTCTGTGTTATTCTGATAAGGTTCCAACAGTTTTGTATATTAGTAACTGCGTGTAGATGGCGTAAGTCGAAAGCTCTTATATCACAGTATGCTATAAGTATAAAATTGTAAATTGTAAATATCTATACATAAAAGTTATTGATGTACTCGAATGCCTGTATAGTATGCATGTTTTAAAATTGTTATGTAGTGTTTTATTTATTGGCCAACCTTTGTTAGTTGGTCGGTCTTAAAATCTCTTCAGAGCTTATGTTTCTCGTTGTAAACATACCGACTATAAATAAAGATTACTTGAACTTGAAAGCGTAGTGATTAGCGCTCTGTAATGCGTGTAATACTAATAGTTTCTAATTACTTCGGGCAACAACATAAAGCGTCTTTAAAAAGCTCATGATAAACTAGCATTTAGAAAAGGTATTCTCTTGTTCAATCTTACTTATGTTACAAATATCAATAATATAAATTACACATATTTTTCGTGACTGGTGGATTAATGATTTTTTCCCCACTGACACTGTAAAAAAGTACAATGAGTCAATGACAAGCATAATATTTCTAGCAAGACATTGCTCTTCTTATACAATGCACTGTGTCACCCACTGAACTTAAATGATCTGTCTGATAATGTGAGAGTTGCATATTTCCAAAAGAACATCGCCGACCCTGCATTACAGATTACTCCTGCCAGTGGATCAAGGTGTGTTACTGAACTTTAGGGCATATTATTATTAAAGAACTCTTAAATGCAATTGATGGGGATAAAAAACTAATAATGATGTGATATATATACAGGGTTCTCCTTACGTTGCGCAAACGGGGCGCGCGCCCCGTTAGAGAAAACTCCCCCCCCCCCTGTTTCAATCGTTGCGCCCCGTTTAAATTACCTCCGCCACGATTAAATTCCACCACAATAAAAGTTTGACAGCGCGGGGAATCGATCGTCAAGAATTCCCATTCGACCAGGACACCCGTACCACGCATGCACTGCATACCACACACAAGTACAAACAGTCAACCTGTCCCGAACCCCACACTAACTGTACACCGACTCGGCTATCTTATATATACAAGAACCCCAAATACCGCCTATGGTGTGGTGGCGATTTTACGCATTAATTAGTGGTACGGTAAAAAAACACGCCCCCCGGACCCCCCTAGTTTCCCCTCCCTTCCCCTTCCCCTCCCCTCCCCCTGTTTCAATTTCATCCTGGGGAGAACCCTGATATATATAATATATATATATATATATATATATATAATATAGTATAATATATAATATTATTATACTAGTATAATGATAATAATGATTAGGGACCTCTGGGAAAGGTTCAACATCATTAACACGTTCAACGCGAAACACGAGTATACTTGTTCGAACCTGCAAAACGCACGGCCGCGAAACACGAGTATACTCGTGGCAAAAAAAAAAATAAAAAATATATTAATTTGGAACGTTTACTATGTTCTCCTATAGATGGCAGGGGCTATACGCTTAGCAATTCAACAGCGTCACTGTATAAACCCCAGTAGTAGATGACATAATTTATACAATACATTACTGTTGTTTGGAACGTTATTTTGGGAGTTTTTGGGACTGAGGTAATGTTTTTAGTTCATCTCGCCAAAGGGCGTTTGACCGCCGTGTGTTGTAAAGTTGTTTTTATGTCTGAAAGTTGTGTTTGATTTGATAGATCACGGGTGATAGATTCCGGTGTTGTTTTGATGTCTGAGAGTAAGTTTATATCTATATTATACTAGCCACTAATTATAAATAATTTTATAGCTAGTTAAACCTGCCAAAAACATTTTGTGTAATAGGTGACTAAGCGGTAAAAACGCGAAAATCTCAGCACAGGGCGGTAGGTGCATTGTTAAACATGCAGCGTTCAACGTGTTAATGCTATGGAGAACAATGCTGGGTCTTGGGGTGAAGTGACACCATTAGCTAGGAATACTGCTTGGCAAAATATGTGGCCAGAATGTATCTGCGACATTGAAAATTTTCTCCAGGAAACAGGTGCCCATTAGGTTCAGACAGACATTGTGGCACCTGCACATCATGTAGGCTTTGTGAATGTTGCTGAAGATGATGTGGTTGAGAGTGGTTGCAATCCCATATAGTAGCTCTATGTTATGACTTCAGATCTAATGCTGTTGGAACAAGAATGAGTTGCAGAAGAGCAATGAATCCTTATCATACACTAGAGTAACACATTATATACATTTCACATAGGTTGAGGCTGTAACTTATATTCATAGTATGAAATTGTTGTGATGAGTTCCGGTTCTAAATTGTGCAGGGTAAAATCATTGCGACAACTGAAAATCACATATATGCTCTTTTTTCTCATCATTAGTGAAATGCATTTTATGTTCTGAGATATTTGTAAACATTCCAATGCACTGCCTGCATTTGCTTTTATTGATCAGAGTCATTGTAATGGACATGTACATGAATTTTTTTCAGAGAACAGAACGAGAAAGACGTGTTGTTGCCGTATCCACCGGGTCGGCATGGTCCTCGTCATGGCAACCGATTTGTGCGTGATTGCCAACCTGCTCAATATGGTGCCTTAACAAGTGAGATCACACAGGTAGGGTAGCAAATGCTGACAATGAGCAGCTAGTATTGTATACTGTTTAAAAAGATTTAAAAAAAACAATTATCAGCGGCAATTTTTATTGACAACTGTACGTCTATTTGTCCTGAAGAAAGTACGTGTTATGCATTTCGGTTTGACCATTATGAATTCTCGTTATGTAGACTGTTGACCAATGACGTCTGTAATAGAGGAACTTGTCAACATTCAGTTAAACAGTTTGTCTTGATTAAACTGCATGCCCAATTGCATTTCAGTGCAAGGATCGAAGTTCGGAAACTAAATCTCCAGTGGCCATTGTGAAGCAGTTTATTGTAGAAACTGTTTGGCCAACTCGTTCTGTGCAAGGTCATGTCGCTATTGTATCGAATCCTCTCAAGACGATATCTGTGCTTGAACCTGCTGGGGGTGGGTGTAGTGGCAAGACCGTTGCTCTGGTTACAGAGACGGCATCGCAGCATCATTGCCTGGTGGCACTGAATGCCGGTTTCTTCAACACAAGCAGCAAGGAGTGTCTTGGCAATGTTGTTAGCCGAGGAAAGCTGGTACACGACTCCGGAGGCATACAGAATGCGCATTTTGGCATCTTAAAGAACGGAAGCTTGTTTTTTGGGTGATAATTGCTTATATTTACTGTCGTACAGTTTAGTATAGTTTTTAGCTTGCATTGACATCGTCAAGATGAGCTATTGCCATGGGGTGTCGTCCGTCCGTCCGTCCGTCTGTCAACATTTGGCTACGGTCAACGATAACTCAGGAACCGTTTGACCCACATGTTTCAAATTGAATACAGTTGTTACTCCTATGGGAGAGATTTGAACTTCCTATTTTGGAGCACGCCAGTCGACCTACTTTTGAGCCACACCCACTTTTTGGCAAAAATGAAAATGGCCATCTAACTTCATTCTATTTTGTTAAATTTTGGTATGTGAATGTGTAAGGCTAGCCCCAAAACAGTTGTTACTCCTATGGGAGAGATGACAACATACTATTACGTTAACAATATCCTACTGGTTAACAACTCTACAATCATACCTATATACATGTAATATTGTGTTTTAGATTCTTCGTTACAGTAATTTGACTGGAATATTTTATTGTTTTTATTTGCGCGATATTTGAAAACCAAAATGGCGATCATTAAGGCGTAGCGCCATCTCTCGTCAAGATTTCAGACTTTCAGATCTGAAACATTTATTTTCTAATCAAAACTTATGCATATATCATTATCAAGAGTATATAATGGGAGATATGCTATATAATGGGAGTTCTCCCATATATACTCTTGCTTTATATATCCCCCTCCCTCTTCTATCACACCCAAGGTGAGCTACAGTGTCATTGACACATTCATTATAAATATATTGAATGAAATCCTTAGTATTATAAATATGAACGTAAGTGAAAACACAAACAAGCAGTACAAATTACGTGAGTATTATGGGCGTGAAGGTGAGCACGGCTACGTGCGTGCATTTAGAGTGGTTTTATTGCTGGTTTTCACAGTTACTTGGCTGAGAACGTGTTATTGGAAGACCCGGAACCCTTTCAACAGCTTGTTGGAGGAGTCATATGGTTGGTGCGAAATGGAGCCAGTTATGTAAATGCAAGCAGATATATTGAGTGTGACGAAGTAGAAGAAACAGGTAAGCTTATGTGAGCAATAGATAGTATTATTATAGGCTAGTTTAGTTGGATAGATGTAAGAGTAAGCTCATACAGAGTAGTAGGAAGTAAGGATAATTTAATGCAGATTATATATATATATATATATATATAGTCTATTGTCTATATATATGACATGTAGACAAAGTGTGTGAATGCTAGGAAGAATGGGTAAGTTCGTGTGGGCAGTAGTAAAGATGTGTATGTTATTGTAAGGCCGACCAAAAAATCACCTTTGGTTCGACTTCACATTTCGGAGTGATAAAATGTGCGACTGCGGTCACTTTTAGAGGGTTTCAAGAGAAAATAAAATTCAAAGATACCGCCTGCCGATCATACATATTCAAATATCCGACTCTTGTCATTTTATTTACCTAAAGAGAGTTTCAAAATATTTATAAACAGAACTTTGCTGGCGAGAAGTGAAACAGTTCGTACCTACGCTTCCTACAACGTAAAACAGTCGTATAGAGCTTGGGCCGGCTACTTCATAAACAGAGCCTGAAGGTCGTATGGTGCGGCGGCCGGCTTTGATGTACGCGATCGATCGCGTACTATATAGTATACGCATGCTATCATGCTATACGCGGCCGCAGAGCCGTTTACACTTCGGTTACTTGCTCGTTCAAAGGGACGATTAATCGAGCTCCGTTTTTGGAGCGATTCCTAACACTACTATCCAGGTGTTCACATTTTGAAAACAATGTCATGACTTGCAGCAATGGTACATGCAACTGCAAGTCATTTGCATCTCGTGGCTCCTGCATTTCAAGCTGTATACCCTATATTTAACTTGTGAAAAAAAAATTATATTCCTGCCTACCAATGTTTTTGCAGGAAAAAAAATAAACCTACCTACCTACCCTAATTTTCACAATCCATGTGAGCCGAACCAAAGGTATTTTTTTGTTTGGCCTAAGTAATAGTTAGTTGTGTTAATGTAGTTATTAATAATTAAGTAATAGCTGTGCCCTCATGACCACAATGTAAATGTGTTATTATATATTGTGGTTAACAACCAATAATCAAATTTACAGTAAAATGCTCAATAAATCATTTGAGCCTTATCAACATACCGGTATTATTACTGTGACAAGTTAGTTGTCATTATCTAACAGACCTTCTCTATGAAAAAGTAAACCCTTGTCTAACTGAAATGACAGCAAGCTTTACAGAGACAATATGCGTAGTTGTAGAAATTTGTATGTTGTAGGTACAATGAATCAATTTATAGACGCAGTGTCTGCACGCACTGCCATTGCCCATGATCAGGATGGACAAGTCATGTTTGTTCATGTCGATGGCAAAACCTATCATGATCGAGGGTAGGTGACTGACACTTCAATATTCTATGTGTGAGGTGGTCATGATTTGCACAGGTTATACTGTGTTTACTTCATTCATTGTTTCAAATATTAATTAAAAATGCATCTATTTAACATATTTTATATGATTATATATTCTATAGAAACAATTATTGCAGATCAGTTATATGTTTGGTATCTGTCAGGATATGTAATGATATTTGTAATTTAAGAGTTTTTGGTGATACATTCACTCTGCTTTGCTGTGTTTTAGTTAAATTTAATATATTGTGATGTGCATGTAAACATATCCTAATGTAACATATGCAAGAAACACCATGAATTGGTTTTATTAAACTCATTCGTTATTCCGTGGACATTGGTGCCTTTCTTGCAGTGTAAACCTCTGGGAGTTTGCTCAACTATTGATTGAACTCGGTGCGGTCAATGCAGTAAACCTTGATGGTGGCGGCTCGGCCACAATGGTCGTTAATGGCAGTGTCATTAACTACCCGTCTGATGCCTGGTATGCAACTCTACTGTACTATATGTATTACGATATTGCTAGAAATTGAGCAAAACCAATTAATTTTGTGACATATATATCAAGAGTAGATAAATAACAAGAGTGAGACAACCAATTCCCGCATTTTTAACAGATTTTTCTCATCAAAATTTACCACCAATAAAGAAGCAAGTGTATACGTTCCTGAGCTTATTATGACCACTAATCACTCACCTTCGTGGTACTGATATTCGTTTACATATATTTGCTAGCGTATTGCTGTAAATCGTAATCTTGCACGAGCTGAATTCGCACAATTTACCGCTTTTGTTTAAGACCTGTTTAGCCATTATTTAGAAGCTATCGGGGCGCCAATATTTAGCAACGGACGTTTCCAAATCATTCGTGCCCCGATAGGGTTGAGAGACAATCTACATTTCGAATTTTGATCTCGTGAGGAACCGCGAGCCGCGCTCAGTTATTGTGATCGCAACACAAGAAATTGACATACTATCTTACATAAGTAATAATACAATAATAACAATATTCTCTGTAGTAGTTTGCAGTAAGTATCACATTACGCGCGCGCAGGTAATCAAGTACATTAAACCCCTATCGGGGCACGAATGATTTGGAAACGTCCGTTGCTACATATTGGCGCCCCGATAGCTTCTACATTATGGCTAAACAGGTCGCAACAAGTCGCCATTTTAGCGGTAAATTGTGCGAATTCAGCTCGTGCAAGATTACGATTTACAGCAATACGCTAGCAAATATATGTAAACGAATATCAGTACCACGAAGGTG